CCGGCCGAGCCCTTTTCTCATGAGTGCCTCCTAATGAAATATTTTGTAGCCATCTTATTCCAGATCTGTTTGATGTTCATTTTGTGGTTGTAGGAATGCATGTGTGTGCATGAAAAACGTGTCCACTGGTTGCTGGTCTGCAGATAGGCTTTGGGTTCGGTTCAGAGCCCTGCGCGAATGGTGCCTTTTTCTTGAGCCTTCGGTAGTTTACGTTATCGGATGACTGCACTAATCTGGCACAGCTAATGTCTTTTGCTCCAGAGTCCCTAGGCAGAAAACTTCTTGGAAAAGAAAATCCCAAGTCTGGTGTGTTAGCCAGAGATACTGGCTCTCTTTCTTCTCCGCTCCCCCAGTGTTTTCCCGCTTCAGCCAAGCATTGTTTGGATTCAGGCATGTCCTGCTCCTGCCCCCTGCAAAATTGAGTCCGTCTTTCTCGCTTTCATCCCGTAACGAGCAGCCTGGAGGGTGTTCGCCCGCCCGCGGCGTTAGTTGCAGGGTGCTGGCACCGCGCGGAGAGGAGCCGTGGTGTCGCCAGCCGAAGCCCGCGAGCGACTCCGGCCCCCTCGGGAGCTCAGCGCCAATGCGTCCTGGGTCTGCGCGTTTGCCCGGCCTGAGCTGGCGGGTTGGCTGCCTTATCCCAGTGCCTCCCAGCCCCATGCCAAGGTTTGAAACCATCTCCGTGTTCAACCACGATTTCCTTAACCGGCAAGGGTAAGGAGGAGCTAATGAGGTGGAAGGGGCTTTTGCTCAAGCAGCCTTAGATATACGCAGGAAAAGAGAAGACGTGACGTGGAGAGGGAGTCGGGAGTCGGGAATCGTTCTCGGAAACACGGTTCTCGGAAACAAAGCCTCAAGTTTCAAAAGCGGCTCATGTTGTTAAAACCCGTATTGTGCAAACCCCCTCAGTACAAACAGTCTTGAGCAACGCGGAGCTGGTGTGAGCGGTACAGGAGCGTAGAGGTGATTGTGTCATACTTCGGAGCTTAAGTGTAACAAGATATCAAGGAGACAGGTCAAGAGACCAGAAACTTAGCTAGTCTTGTTAGGGTGAAAACACTCTGTCTTTCGTTTTAGAAGTCCCTTTTTAAAATGCTAGGAGGGAGATCTGTGAAAGGCACCCGACTTCCATACAGAGTTAAAATATAAATTTCCTTGCAGACGGTGTCAGAGTTAAGAACTCTGTCCTTTCCTGCTTTTTGGAAAAGTGACTCAGCACAATGAGGCTTGTAATGAATTTAAGCAGTACCTCTGAAGAGTGAGGTGATAACGTTTTTATTAATGCCCGAGATCTAATGATTTTTCTTGCTTTGGAAGCCGGCTCCGCTCAAGCTCCGGGGCTAGGCACTGTGATAATAACAGGCAGCTCCTCCAGACGAGAGCATCGCGGACAAAGAGGGAGAATTATTATCCCATTTAATACGCAGCTTTTGAGGACAGAGGGATTGGATGACCTGCCCACGAGTATTTTTTTTTTGAACCTAGGTGCAAAGCAGTTGTTAAGCTGCAGCATTAGCTACCGTATGAATTCAGCGGTGGGGTGTCTCCCCCGTCCTGCGCGTGGGGGCGTGGGGTGCAGCACACAGCCGCTTGGCTTTGCAGCGTTTCCCTGCTCCCGGGATGGCTGAGCCCGGCTGTCGGAGGCACTCAGCCGGGGCCCCCTGTAAAGCAAGCTCCATGGTAAATACTTTGCAAATGAAAACCAGGCTGCAGCGCTGCTTGCTCCATAACACTCTTTGCCACATGCTAAGCTCCCATAAATAATGCTAGGTAAGCACGCAGGGTCCTCCGGGAAATTCATTTGGTGACTTCCACCCAGCAAGCCCGAATGTGTACTTTGGAAGAAACTCCAGGGTTTCGATCATGCCAAAAAACCAAGTCACTTTGAGTTACTAACTCTGTGCGGTTGCTCCACCTTCTAAAGTGAAATAATTAACACTGAATCCAACTAATATTTTTATGGCATCGCTGAAAACGTTCTGTTTTTATAGGGAGCTGAAGGGCAAACAGTCCTCAACCTGCAGCGCACATGTTAAAAGCTGACATATTCCTTCCTGGCAGCAGGATGTGATGTTTCTATTACAACTTAACTAATAAATAGCTGGAGATGTTAGTAAAAGGGGATAACAAACTGAGCGTGTAGCTATAGTGCCTGTCCTCTGGACAGAAGGCTGCCTCCTATGACCGGATGCTGTCCCTGCAATGTTTGTAATACATTCAGTAGCGCTTAGACCCTCAGGCCACACATGGGGCATTGTGGTGCAGCACGTTCCCCGTGAGAGAGTCTTTGGGAGCTTGGCCTGGGAAGCACCCTAAAATCGAGGCACTCCCTGATGTGGTCCACGTCAGCGGCCGCAAAATGCCTCCAGCATGAGCTGCTGTCGCCTCCGCTCCTCTGAGCAGGGCCTGAGCCCCCGTGCCTGATGCAAGAGCCCGGCATGGGACCAGAGCGTTTTGGGGAAAGGCAGCGCCCCAGTGACTTGCCGGGTGCTGGCCATGGGATGTGGCTGCAGGGGACAAGGAGGTTTTGTTGGCCGCTGGCCCAGGCATGGTGATTTTGTCCTCTCTACAGTGGTGGCGTCTTGGGGTCTCCTAAGACCTTCCCTCCCACCACAGTGGCTGGTGGTCTTCTCGAGGGCTATGCTCGGGCACAAGGCATCTGGATGAGTTGGCCTCATGCTTTTGAGCACATGTGATGACATCTGAACCAGGCATCCGTTATCGAGCTTACCTTATGTCTGTGCCTAAGTACGTTGTCGGACCTAAGTGACCCCAAGTCTCCTGAGTCCCAGCGCTGGGCTTCACCGGCAAGGTGACTTTTCCTCCCTGGGGTCCATAGGGAAGTAAACGATTGCAGGGCTGGACAGACGGACGTGTGCAAGCAGTGGCAGTTCGGAGTGCTGCTCTCGCACAAGAGTGAAATGAAGTCCTAGGGAGCGTCTTACTAACCAGACTCTACCTAATCGCTTTAAAGCAAGTTCCTGATGAGTTAGTTGAGACGTGTGACACCGCATTAAGCCTGTGTTCCTGGGCGCTCACCCCTGACGTGCTCAGCTGTGCCCTGTTGTCACACTGTGTGTATTAATGCATTAGCAGGGACTCCCGTTAGAGACTAGAATTTAGGTCGTAACCCTCCTTTTGCTTTGTTTCCGGATTTAAACGAGACAGCAGCGTCTCTGTCCTCCTCTGGTCGTGCTTGTGTAATCCCCACGAATGCTGATGGGATTTAAACACATCCAGTGGCAAAGGGGGATAGGTTGCTCCTCGTGGATCTCATCTCTCGTTTCCTTTCATGTTTTTATTTGGCAATCCCTTCTGCACCGCTCGGGCAAGCCGGCCGGGGTCGGAGCGCACGGACAGGCTCAGGGGCGCTGCAGGACGGAGGAGCCCTCGTGTGCTGAGGACTCGCTGGCTCGCGGCAGCAGCGTCCCTCATAATCCCAGCGCCCGAGGCTGCTTGGGGGTGCTCAGCTGAGATCTGAGAACGTTTCCCAGCTCTTCTTCCGAGAGAGCTGATTTTTACTGTGTCTTATCTTTTATAGTTGACTTCCTTTGGCTGCTTTTGATTTTTTTTTTTTTTAATGGCATTAGCGACAGTACAAAGCCGTGGATACTGTAGCAATGTTTGCACCCTAGCTCCCTTCGTTAAGCAATCAGGACGAGTCTGTCCAGGGAGCTTTTCTCATGGGAAGGAGTGCGATCCAGAGGTTAATCGTTTCCCAGAGGATATTCAGTCCAGTGCAGCCCAACCCCAAGGTCTGTGGTATTCCCAGAGTGGTGCTGGCCTATGGGTTGCTTGCATCGTTCTCTAAAAAGGGTATGCAAGTGTTGTATGTGCCTAGCAGCCGAATTAGAAATCAAAAGCTGATCTCTGCTGATGCCAAGCAGCCATTTCCACAAAATGCCAGCTGGTCTAATAGCCCGCTTAGGAAAGTACCTGCAGGC